CATAGAAAAATACATACTGAAGTAAAATGGGAGAAAAATGTCTATATAAAAAAAAGACCACAAATGAAGAAGGGAATATTCAGGATGTTCTCTCTCCGCAGCTCTGTGAGGTGCTTACTGTCAGGAGCAGACATGAAGGTCCTGGCTGCACTGGTTTGGTTTTGAGGTAGGCTGCATACGCTGCCAGGTTTGTATCTAGGACTGAACCCGGGCTAGTCAGAAATCATCACTGCCTCCTGGGTGTCTGCAGTGATATTTGCTATTTTCTATAGCTATTTTAATGGGTAAATTACATAACTTTTGTGGATCTGAGAATGTCCTTGGCTAAATCTTTATTAATATTCAACAATCTATTGAATATCAACTACAATAAATACGGTATGACAATGAAAATATAGGTTGTTTTTATTTTTCCTCAAATTTTCTATATTATTACACTGCTTGTTGATACAAAATAAACAAATGCCAAAGATCTCTTTCTCATCCTCTTAGTTTTATATTTGACATATTAAAATAGTTCTTACCTGGGCATCTGGATCCAAGTAAAAAAGTTTAACTCTGCTTTCACTTTTCAGTTTGATTTCTGCTTCTCTGGTACTCTGATAACAAGATAAATAAAAATGATATTTAACAAAATGCTTTTTAACAGAGCTACATTTGAAAGTTATCCCATCCCAAAGATCGGGGATATTAGACACCCCTGCCTTACCCCTAAGAGACAGCTGCATTTCAACAAACAGGAATATACCACGGCCTATGCAGCATATAAACAAATGGTGTGTGGAAGGGACCAAGTTCACATGTGATCCTTGCCCTTCTGGGATTGACAGCCAATTGTGAGTCAAAAACAACCCGAAGAAAGCAAAAGACAATGATTAGACTTCAAAACTGTTAAGAAAGCCTTCATAAAGTACTGCAATGTAGGACAGGTTTTGAACAAAGGGGCAGAACTTAGCCAGAAGGAAGCACGAACCTCCTTGGTTAATTGGAAAGGATACATGGACAGACACTGAGGACAGAAATGAGCCCAGATGGTATGAAGGACTGAATAGGGTCAAGACTGGGGGTACAAGAAGAGAAAGAGAAAGCAATACATTTTAAATGGGAGGGAAAAAGAACCAGGATAGATCTTGAAGGACAGTAAGATGCTGATTCATCCAATGAATATTAAATGAGCACCTACAATGTGTCAGGCAATGGCACATGAATGAAAAAAGTTACTAACCCCAAGGAACACCAGTTGGAGAGGAGCTGGATACTCAAGTAGTAAGAATGGCAAAGCGTAAGGAATAGTGGGAGCTCACCTGACTTAAGGGGTAGCAATTGGGAAAGACTTCCCAGAGGAAAGCCTCTCTTGAAGGACAAGCACTTTTGGCCAAGGAAGGAAATAAGAGCAGTATAGGAGGAAAGCCGCAGGTGGAAAGGGACAAGTCAAACCTCAGCAATGATTAGGTCGATGGATACAACTGAATGGTAGGGTGTGGAGGGGAAAACAAGAAATGAGTCTGGGATTTATATGCTAAGGATCGGTGATGTCATTCAGAACTGAAAACATTCTAACAGTTTAAGCAACAATAAAATAAAATAATGACTTCTGCATTTTAGAAACATCCCTTGGGGATGAAGCAAAGGATTAAATAGGATACGACTAGGAGGCCCATTGTACCTTTCATGGGTTGAACAACAGTCTCCCAGGCTCACAGCAAGGCGCACAACAAATCCCACATTTCTGTCTTGATTAATCTGATCAATGATGGTTCCATTAACGGCGATAGATAATTCAGGTAAAGAGCAAACTTCAGGGAAGGATGATACACAAGGTGGAGTGTGAGGCTGCCTGTAGGATTTCCAACTGAAAACATCCAGGAGATGGCTAAAGGTATGGGACTTGAGAACTATGTGGAGAGGAAAGCTAGAGACAGGGACTTGAAAACCTTCAGAGTGCAGGAGGGAAGAGAAGTCTTGGGAGTGGATGAGATTTTCTGAGGAGAGTGTGAAGGTGAGTCTGAGGACAGAAGACCAGGAGCTCCAAAAATGAAGAGATGGAGAGAGGAGAAACCACTGAAGGAGACATATGGCGGCAGGCAGGGAGGGTGGAGATGTGGGTCATAAGAAAAAAAGAGGTTTCTAAGACATCCAAACAATAGAAGTCATCTCTGATCTCATTATTTATCACATCTGGTCCCTCTACATACATATCCTATTCTTCTTGGCAATCAGAGCACTGTTACTCCCAATCTCCATAGTTAAGTTTATGGAGTCAGAACAGAATGTCCTGCATCATCTGTTACTTTCCTCAAGAATATGTCACATCTCAACACTTGAAAATGGGGCAGTAACAGTCATGGTGGAGAAGGTGTTTTGTCTTCTCTGTTGGTGGCTGAGTAAGGTCTACTACCACATCTCTAATCAAGACTAATGAGAAATTAAGCATCCTCTTGGTCTTGACAGCCCTGAAGTTGTTACAATAGGAATAGGTCCTTAGCAAGGTCTTATGACTGTATTTAACCAACTGTTTACATCTAAATAAAATGACCACTTGAATACTAAGAAATGGGCTGGGCTCTTAATTTTAGTTCAGCTGTTAACTAGCTAGCTGTGCAAGGTAGCTGGTCCCACTTTCATTATAGTATAAATGTTGAACAAAATGATGGCTCAAGTCTCCGGCCCTAATGAAATTTATCTTAATACTAACTGTGGGAGCTTTGAAGCTTCTGGAGGTTAAGAGGTAAATCTTCTGTTCATGCTTTCAGGGGAAAAAATGAGCCTGTGGCTGAGGCAGGCTCTCTCTATATGGGAAATGAGATTGTTTCATTTTACTTCAGACTGCCTATCCCTTTTCCTAGTTTTTCACATCAAAAGAACCAGAACCTATACAAACAGAATCTACTTAACTGAAAGCAAAGAATTTATTTTATATTGTGTACTGCTTATGACGTTTTCTAACAAAGCCATCAGTACTAGGTGCTGCAAGCCACCACCATCAACAGCGTATTCTACTTCTGAATTGTCTGCTTGAGTCCTTCAACAAAGCGAAGACTGTGATCTCAGAGCTAACATAGAGCAACGGGTTCTTTTTTTGTTTGTTTGTTTGTTTGTTTGGTACCAGGGATCGAACTCATGACCTTGCACTTGTGAGGCAGGTGCGGTGCCACTGAGCTAAATCCCCAGCCCAGCAATAGGTTCTTAATGTAGATGCAATTCCCGGTACCCTTCTGAAAGATACTTCTTGTTCCAAGTTGTCTATGCTAGGAGATGAGAAATTAATAAAGCAAGGAAAACTGTACGAGTTCCTTATAATTAAAAGACCAGTTAAGGATGTAAACATATGAAAAGAAGCAAAAGAACTAAAATAACAGGCAAAATAAAAACAAAGCATGCTTATTGTCCACTAATATCTAACAAATATATTCTTCATCAGAGATATCCCAAAGAAGAGGCAATGTTAGATATAATAATAACCTAAAAGCTATAACCTACCTTACATAGGCAGCTCTGCTATGAGCTAGATAAAAACAAATTCAGCTTCTGAAATTTCCTCCCATACCTTCCCAGACCTATGCATTAAACAAAGGGGAAGCCCAACAGTGGCTTAAGGAATTAACAGATAAAATCTAGAAGGTAAGAAAATACGGCTTAGTAAGGGCAATGCTTCATCTAACACCAGGGAATAATAAAGATCTAGAAAAATAATAATAATGAAAGCTGATATTTATTGGGCATAGCTAACATATATATATTACCCTAAGTGGCCATTTAAATTTTATACAACCTAGGGTTAGGGATGTAGTTCAGTGTTGGAGCACTTGTTTAGCAATGTACTTTTAATCTCCAGGAAACAACAAAAACACCCTCAAATTTTATGCAACTGTATAAATTAAAAGGCAAATAGCACTGGTATCAGCCTTATTCATTAAGAGAAGAAACAAGGCTAAGCACTTTGCCCAACGTCTCCTAGCATTAAATAGAAGCCTCGCCTGCCTGCCTTCTGAGTCTACACCAGTGGTGGCGAACCTATGGCACACATGCTGCAGCGGGCTGTTTGTATTAATGAAAGCTCTAAAAGGTTTGCCATCAGTGGTCTAGACTCTTAACTCGTCCCACTGGCTTGGACCAGTGGGAAAATGAACAGGCAAGTCAGAGAGGAAGAAAAAACCAAATGGTAAATAAATATATGGATGTATGGAAAATATTACTAGTAAGCAACAACATATAAATCAAAGCACAATAAAACATCATTTTTCACTCCGATGACAATACAAAGTACTAGGAATGTAATCAATCACTTTGGTGAAAGAAGAATCACAACAGGTTAACAGTGTATTCTCAGGAATGGAGGATGCAGGAAAAGATTAATTTCTTTTTGCAAATTTGTGTGCCTTTATTTATTATACCAAGCACACTTATAAAATTTAGTTTTAAACTGGATAAAGATGTGGGTTTTTTATAAAACGGAGTACTACTCAGACATAAAGAATGAGAAACTAGAGACATTTATAGCTAAATGGATGCATATTGAGGCCATACTCTTAAGTGAAATAAATAGGACACACATGTGTAAATACCAAATAGTTTTTCTAGTGTGAGAAACTGAAAGTGTAAATAAGGATTAAAAGGATTAATAACAAATAATTGATACTTTGAAATAGGAAGAAAAGGCCCAAAGGGGTAGGGGAAGTGGGAGGGGAAGGGGAAAGGAAAGAAGGGAAAGGAAAAATTATACGAAAAGAAAAAAATGGAAACAAAGTCTATGTAAATAGGGAAGGGTGGAGGGGTGAAGGGCACACAGGGAATGGGTAAAAAATAAGAACCAAGATACATCATGTACAGGTACAAGCAAGCACCCAATGATAAATGCAAACGTATCGTATACCTAAAATATACCTGTAAAAGAATTTAAGCAAAAAAAAAAATTTAGAAAAAAAATTTAGTTTAAAAAGTTTTACTTTTAATTAAAAATTTTAGAAAAGACAGTAAAACACTTATAATACATACTTTCACAATTTAAGAGCTCATAACATACAGCTATAAAAAAATCTATTATCCCAAAGATTATGTAGCTGAGCACTTTTCAAAGTGAGAGAAACCAGCTCTGTTCTTAAAATAATCTGTGGTCACTCTATATTGTGGCTGTTGTAAGAACTGCTTAGCTTTTCTCCAAACACCCTGTTACAACCAGCCTGTTCATGGCCCATTTGCTACTCTGGGTTCAGCAGAGAGGAGAACAGGAGGAAAAAAAGATAGAAAAGGACAATGGCAGAAACTGGCACTTGCTTAGAAGTCAAAGAAAATGATTCAGCTATAACAAGCTATTCTCCTGTCCTATCCAGTACTCTAAATTCAGTCATAAATGACACATCCTACTCATGTTTTGTCTTAAGTAGTTAGGGATCAAACACTTAAAGGTTTCCAGAAAGAGCATACTCTATGGTCCTGAGTTTATTGGTCAGTCAATAAAGCAATCTAAAGTTAAGACTATGGCCAACAACATCTTATTTGGAGGGTGAGTTTTCAGAAAAAATATCATGCTGACAATTGGTTGGGTCATTTAAATAGAATGTGTTAAAATAAGAAGAACTACCAAAATATTTTGAGGCTAGAATATATACTTTTTAATTTTAAGGACTATCAAGACTTGTTTCTTTTACTTCTAAGATACCTAACTGGCCAAGACTATTACCTCACTCCAAGTCACAAAGCCAGGAAAAGCATTACAGAATACAGAGCCCCAGATATGGAATGCCAGGTGCCCTAACAAACACTCCATAGCCTACTTCTGTGTATCATAACACAATGACATTGTTTTCTGGATTGAAACATACGGAAAGAAATGTTTGTTACAGAGTTGGTTTAAAAAAATTAGAAAAAGTATCTGTGAAACTGTTTGAGTTCTGATAGGTTCTGCTGAGCTTGACCCTGTGACCCTTACTCAACCTCAACGAGACTATGAAGTCTGAGACACCAAGCTTTGTTCTGCATTCAACTGTGAAAGATCTGCCTGGAAAGATAAGTTCATTCACTTTAAAACGAAACAGAAGGAACAATTTGGGGTTGCCCAGAAATTGCTTCTCTTTTAGAACCACATGGAGAGACTAAGAGTGAGCTACTGTTCCTGGGGTACAAAAGAAGCTCAAAAATGGAGGGAAATGTAAAAGGAAGCACGAGGGTTTTCTTCACATCATTTTTATATAAAGAGGTAATCTATATGTTCCAATGTGATCTAAGATAATGTAACCAGAGGAAAGAAATGAAATGATTAGGAGTGGAGATTACAACCTGACTGCTATTCCCTGACTGTTTAGGGAAGAAACCAATTAACTAACCCATATGTTTAAGACTGATGCTGTATATCTGTGTATTTACAACAAAAATTGTTTAGCTCCACACTATAAAAGGAGGAAAAGGACAGGTTTTAGGATAGATACAGCATGTTCCCTAATATCAAAACAATAAAGATGTTCAGTACTCAATGTATGAACATAAGTTCCAAGAATATACAAAATACCCTGAAAGCCTAAATCTATTTTACTCACACCAAAAGTAGAGGGCCCCTCCATAATATACCAAAATGAGATGTTATGTTTCCACTAAAATACCTTCCTGTCGATCATATCCTGTTTGGCTATGTCTTAGTCACAAGGGAAAACAAACGTTGGAGCAACAGGATGAATGAGGCAGAAAATGGAGCTGAACAGAGAGAAGCCTGCCAACAAATTCCATCTTCAACCATCTTCTGCCTTCCTCCATTGTTTTAGGCCTGTCTCTGCAATCTTACTTAACCACTTACCAGTCCAATTATTTAAATATAGGATGACCAAAAATTGCATATTTTTTGTTAATTTTTATAAGAGGAAATATAAAAATGACTATTTTATCAAATTTATTCAAGAATTGAATGGTTGAAATAACACCTGCTTGAGTGATGCTTGGGATAGTTAGTACATAAACAAACGTACTGCCCAGGTGAAGCCTGGGGCGAACTGTTAAGTGGTTAACTAGCCCTATTTCCCCCTTACCCTTTTCTTCTCAATTATTTTTTAAACTCTCCCTAAGAGCTGTGTGCCTCCCACTCTGTCTCCTCATCCCCTCTACCCCAAACACACTTCAATCTCTGATTCTGTAACCATGGAAACCATGCCTCCTTCAACAGGATGACCAGTCACCAGCCAACTTCTCTGCTTTCTCAATAGGTACAAAGGATCCTCCTCCCAGACACCAGAGGGGGATGATAAACAGCCAAGCTCTGGACTGTGAAGGGATTGGGTACAGGTCTCCAGTTGGGCCTCAGCCCCTCATACCGCATACCACTGAGCAGACCATGAAAAGGCACAGGTGACAAGACAAACAACTCCCAGCACCCAGCACGTTGGGTAGATGGCAATACGTTTTGCTTTAATTTGTTTCCCTTCAAAAAAATTACCTTCTGCCTTTTCCTACCTTCTTAAATAACGTTTTTAAAACATCTGAGAGCTAGGAGGAAAAACACAGAAAAGACTGCCACATTTGTCAGATTTGATTATGACCCAAAGTAAGAAATGTTTTATATCACAATATAATATACATCATGTACATATATACATATATATCACTAAGGGTAGCATAATTTTATAATCTCTACTCGATTCTATGCTGTTTAATTTTTTTAAATGTATGTCACATAATGTTGGGCTAAAGTAGTCTGCCACAAAGAGTATACACACTGGATGATTCCATGCATAGAAAGGCTTACATGAGTCAAACTAACCTTCAGTAATAAGAGTCAAAAGGATAGGAGAGGGGTACAAGACAGTTTTCTGGGATGTTATAAATGTTCTCTACATTGATCTAGGTGGTAGTTACATTGATATACAAATGCAAACCCAATCAAGCTGTATAATTAATCCTTGAGTATTTTATTCTATGTAAATTATACCTCAATAGAAAAAGAATAAAAATTAAAATAAAAAATAAGCAATGGGGTTGAAAACAAATTGCTTTCATTAACTACAGTGGCTTCAGCTAACTTGGTTATAAATCACAGCTTGAAAATAGTTCTAAATATGTCAATTTTAAAAATATGTATTTGTTTATATATGTATGTGTAAAATACCTCAATCTCCCTAGGTCTTAGGATCAAGCAATAATGAATTATGTTGGCTAGATAGCAAGAGAAGAAAAGAGAACACAAGTCCTATAGGTCTTTATAGAGAAAAATACAGTTTCCTAGATAATGAACATTAGGCTCAAATAATGAGTTTCCTCTTACTAGCATGTATTCATTCTGTTTACTTAGCTAGTATAGAAAGCTACTTTCTGAATTCTATCTAGATTGTATCACACATAATACCTACTTCAACAAACTAAAACCTAAACAGGTTCAAACATTTTGCTTTGAAACATTTTGAATCCTCAAACATCCAGAAAAAAAAAGCAAATCTCAATCCAAAATATACAGAAGTTCCTAACACAATGAGGCTGGGGGTGTAGCTTGGTGGTAGACTACTTGCCTACCATGCTTGAGGGCCTAAAGTTCATCCTCAGCACCAAAGAGGGTAAAAAAAAATTCTTAACATGAAACACAAACACACAAGCCAAAACTCTTCCCAGTCTAGGAGGAGGTTACAATGGTAGCTCTAAAGTTAGCTTTAATAGGCAGGTGCTAAAAAGATTCTGTGGAAACAGTCAAATTCCAAAGAAAAACAATGCTCTAAAATCCTAGCCAGGAAAGAAGATTTGTATTTTAGAACAGCCATGTTGTCTTGAAATAAAGGTCAATGCTAGTCTATTTATAATCCTATTCAGACAAACCATGTTTCTATTACAGTGTTTAACATGTGGGTGTGTGGGGGTCACTATTTCACTGTATTATCAAAAAAAGAATAGAAAGGCAGTAACAGCAAGAGCATAAAGGGCTACAGAACACAAAAACATTTCTCATTTCAAAAAGAATCATGCATAGATACATACAAGGAGACAAGTACAGGATATTCATTGTAGCATGTTCATGGTAGAAAAAATGGAAATAATAGAACAGCAAAAATACAATGTTTATACAGTACAATAAAATAAATAAACCAGATCTACAAACCAGCTAGGTCGGATTTCAAAAATACGGTTGAATTTTTAAAAATTTAAAAGCAATCCAGAATAAAACATATAGCAGGTTAGTATTTATGTAACATCCTAAATGTATAAAAACCACCAGATATATCATTATAATATATTTGTAAAAACATAAAAATGACATGCAAGTAAAACTCCATAATGGTTGCTCATTGGGGTGTGGGGAAGAAGAGAATGGGAATAAGGACAGTGCTTAAAAAGAACTTCAATTGTAAAATGTAAAATATTTTATTTCTTTTAAAAATACAGATGCTAAAAAAACTACAGTAATAGATATGAATCTGGGTCGTGGCAGATTCATGGTTGTTTGTTTACCTTTGTGCTTTTCAGTAACTTCTGGGCATCTCAAAATTATAAAACACTCATATCATCTTTTTTTTTTAATTGAGAGTAACTCAGGAACAATTTCTATAACTTAGGCAACCCCTCTTTAGTTTAGTAGCAAGATCACCACATCCATCTTCTTTGGAATTATGCCTAGTAATTTGAGTAACAGGAAGTACACATGTGAACACAGTAATACCTGGTTATTATGAGAACACTTACCTGTGTATTTTGGTTATTTCTTTAATACTTGTGATGCAGCATTAAATAGTATGAGAGAACAAATATTTGAGGAATTGTAAGAAATACTTTGTAGGGTGCATTTTGGAAAACAAACTGAAGACTCACTCAGAACAATGATATATTTCACATCATCTCATATTCAGGTCAGAAATCACAACTTAACTGTTATTTCAAGAGATTCTATTATGGATAAACTCATGAAATGAGAAAAGTTTCAACAGCATTCAAATAAGATCAGATGATTTAAGAAGATGTTACCTTGGCAAGTTCAGGCAGATAGCTATCTAAACCGGAACCAGAACCTTCCAATTTACATTGTTCATCATCTAAAATGGCAAAACAGATTATCCAAGTCACTTATAATGCAATATATTTTATTTAAAGCAGGAGAATTAAGGCTGTTTCTCTTATGTGCTTCTGAGTGCAGTGATTCTCAATGCTGGATGCACA